TGTCAAAGGTATCCTGGTGGACGGTAGTGAGTATCTTCTTAGTCAGTATGCTGATGATATGGAAATATTACTTGATGGTAGTCAGTCCTCCTTTGTATCATGTATTAACTCTCTTGATTGTTTTGCCAAAATATCTGGTCTTAAGATTAACTATAATAAAACTCAAGTTATCTGGCTTGGCTCGAAGAGAGGTTGTAAGGAAAAGTTCAAAGATGATTTGCCTGTTGGTTGGAATCCAGAAGAGTTTAGAATTCTAGGAGTCAAATTTTGCACAAATCTGAAAAAAATGGTTCAGTTGAACTTTAAAGACAAATTATTTGAGTTAAAACAGATTATGAATAGGTGGATGAAACGGATAGTTACACCAATTGGTAGGGTGGCAATCATTAAATCCTTGTTGATTTCAAAACTCAATTATCTATTGTTATCACTGCCTGATCCCCCAAATGATTTTCTTGTTACTTTAAATGCTATGCTTTTTAAATTTCTTTGGAGTGATAAACGAGACAAAGTAAAGAGGATTAAAGTTTGTCAACCTGTTAAGCAAGGGGGCTTAGGTATGGTGAATATCTTTTCATATGTAACATCTCTTAAGGCCACATGGATAAGGAGACTTGTGTCCTCAGGTGATCCAAAATGGAAGCACCTATTTAAATCTACATATCCTTATTTGTGTAAACTTGGTGAGTTTGGTGTGACGTTTTTTGAAAGAAAATTATCTTTGATAAGTAATGAGTTTTGGAAAAGTTGTTTTCAGTCATTTATAGTGCTTGATAAGAAAATCAAGCCAGAATCTTTCAGTAGTTTTTTAACTGAACCAATTTTTTATAACCCTAATATTAAAATTAACAGGAAATCATTTTTCTTGAAATGCTGGTTTGAGAAGGGCATCTCCCAAATTATAGACTTGGTCAAGGCCAATAAGGAGTTTCTGTCATATGAGGAATTTAATGATATGTATGGTATTTGTTCATCCTATTTGGAGTTTTATGGTGTTGTTAGCAGCGTTAAACAATACCTTGGAGCTCTAAATTTAGTTAGAGTTCCAACAGATTCTGTGGAGGATCAGCGCTGTGTGGTAAAAACTATTTGTAGTTCCAAGTCCGGTTCAAAACATATTTATTTTTCATTGGTTTCTACAGAAGTAAAAACTAAAGGGCAGGAAAAGTGGGAATTACAATTTGAAAACTTAAATTGGAACAATATTTATAATAAAATTTTCAGTACAACACAGGATGTCAAACTGCGATGGTTTCAATACAAAATTACCCACAGAATTCTCACCACTAATACTTTTCTGTATTTACTCAATTATGCTCAGAATGATTTGTGCTCCTTCTGTCACAATGAAAAGGAAACAATTACTCACTTGTTTTGGGAATGTGATGTAATAAAACAATTTTGGGATGAAGTGTCATTGTGGATCGACCAGTGCTTTCATGTTTATAATATGACATTTTGTGCAGAATTGATACTTTTTGGAGTTAAAGAGAACATAAAAACAGATAAAGTGTTTGATTTACTTTTACTAATTGCAAAATACTATATTTATAGATGCAAATTCCAAAATACAAAACCTTATTTTCATGTTTATAAAAAGGAAGCTTTTTCACGATACAACATTGAAAAAGATATTGCTTTCAAGACAGGTAATCAACAGAAATTCTATGGTGCTTGGATGCTGTATCATCAACTTTTCGAAAATGAGGAGCAGCTTTCAATTTAATTTTAGTTTTGTACTTAAGATTTTAATGTTTGAGACCATGTACTTTCCTAAACTGCAATATGATATATAAACAAGAGTGAATGTGTGAGTGAGAAGTATGTTATTTTCTGTATAAAAAAAACAACAAAGTAAGATGTACTGATAAGTTGTGCTTTATGTCATGGGCTTTCTGCTACCCTGGGCGGAAGCCCATTTATGTAACAGGTGTGTCTTTCTAAAAACAATAAAAGAAAAAAAAAAAAATAAGAAAAAAAAAAACAAAAAAAAAACAAAACAAAAAAAAACAACATATGTTTTGTCTCTTGCATGTTCTTTGAAATAAACGATGTACATGTCACTCATATCATAGATAGATGGCATACTTGGCAACTGCCTGTTAAAGAAATAAACAATTATACGTATGTTGTAAGCGAAATGGCGGAGATGAATGTAGATGGCAGGGACTATGAATTATTTTTGACTGTCTGTCGTAAATATCCTCAATTATCAAATCCAAAGTCTTGGGTTAATTGGGTTAAACAACAAATTCAGTAATAAAACATTAAATTTCAAGGGAAAAGGAGGAAATATGTTCAATGATGTGAACATGAACAAGTTAGGAATTAACTTCAGTCAGCACAATATCATACAAAATCACTGAATATGTTCGTGAAACTTTCCTTCATAAATGGTTATAATAAATGAGAACATAAACTTTATAAAATGTACCTGGGCAAGTGAAACTATTGCAGGACGAGTTCAAAATAATATCTACTTGCCCTGCAGGGCAAGTTCAGTTTTAGAAATTTTTCGAGCCCTGTAAGAATATGTTGCGTGGTATATATGACCTCATGAGTTGTTTGTTGTTTAATGCCGCACTCAGCAATATTCCATCTATATGACGGCAGTCTGTAAATAATTCAGTCTGAACCGGACAATCTAATGACTGACATCATGAGCAGCTTGGGATATGATGACATGCACCAACCAAAACAGTGAGCCTGACCTTCCGATCCCGTCAGTCGCCTCTTATGACAAGCATAGCTGTATGACCTCATAAAAAGAGTATACCAGTGTTCCCGCTGGTTTTTGAAACTGCCAGTCCTTGTGGACTGGCAACTCTAAAAATTACCAGTCCCCTCTAATTTTTGCCAGTCCAAACTTCATGTTCAGTGCAAAGATGTCGTCTCTGAAGTAACTTAGTTAGATCCATACGTCATTCACACAAACTCAGTCACAATTTTCTTTCTTTTTTAATATTTTCAGACAATGTTGCTACAACTGGATATTTAACCTAGAAATAGACAAGGGGAAACCCTGATGGTAACAGACAAGCTGACTTTGTTCGAAAAATGTACTTATATCTGAATATATGAATATCACCGATTTTTTTGTTCAACAACAAAGATCTATAAGTACTTTATTTGACAGTCCACAGGGACTGGAAGTCACATGAATTACCGGTCCAAGGCTAATTTTACCGGTAAAAAACTGGTCATTACCGGTAAACGGGAACAGTGAGTATACTGTCATCATGGTCAATGTACAGTGCAGTGATAATGGTGTGAATCTGTACAATTCACATCCTGACATGCATATGTTGGCCACCTAGCCCCTGTCAGTGCACAGTGTATCTCTCATCTGCTTCATATACCAACACCATTATTGATCAAAATAGCACAACATTTATACTATATAATAACCAAAACCAAAAATAAACTACAAAATGTTATAAGTTTGTTAATGGTTAGTTTGCATGGCAACCCTACTGAACTGCAGTGCTCCAGATAGATGCCGTATCAGTGTATTGTACGGATGAAAATGAGTATCAACGTATCGCAAATTACAACCTTATCAAATATGCGGACAAATAATATTATACTTTCACATGACCAATTGTTCCCGACCATGTCTCTATTTATGCTCAAAAACGTTCTTAGTAAAAAGAGCATTACCTTCCGATTAATTAAAAGTGAATTATATCATTATTTTATTTGCTCTCAATTCCGTATTGTGATTGGCTCATAATAACATAATCAAATTCTCTCGTCATGGTTAGGTTGACAAATTTTTTCGAACCGAAAAGGCAAACAAGTTCATGTACAGGTGATCACCAAATAGTCACACAACGTTTGAATGACCCAATAACAATGTAGATCTACTGGTGGGCAATACAGGTAGAAAGCACCTGTATTTGAAAGATGTTAAATTGCTATATATATATAACTATTTTATTATAGCAGTACCAGTACTCGTCATTTCTACAAATGTGTAGTACAGTACTTATCATTTTGAAAAATATGTCTGGTTCTGATAATGACCAGTCAGTATTCAATGCAGTTAAAAATTATCTGGAGCACTGTGAACTGACAACATGAGAACAATGTTAATGTACAACACCAGGACCAATCTGTCAGGCATAGTTTTCCAAATCAAACTCTAACTTACCAATTGATAATCAATACAACTAATCGCTAAATATTCAATAAATTATTGACCGAGAAGTTTGAATTTATAGATCATGTACATACCAATCTCATTAAAATCAGATCTTTGTTCTCGCTATCGCTAAACAAAGATCTGAGGACATCCCATTACAGGTCACGTCAGATCGAATTTTCATCCGACCAATCAAAGCATCGTTTACCACTTCCAGATCATGAAAGTGACAGTCGGAATGTGTTTTCTAATCATGCAACCTCAAAAATGTTAACACGGGGTATTCCGAATGACATTTACGGCCCATACGACTGATTCCGTCAAAATTATCGTCTATCTCTCGCGTTGCGCAGTATGTGGGAAGCACTCCATTCAATCCCAACCATATATTAGACATTCATCAATGTTCATTTGTTCAGTTTTCAAAATTTAAATCGAGAACTGTGTCAACATATTTTTCAAGTGTAGTCTGAAATGGAAGTTGCCAGGTTGAAACCAGTGCCGTAAAACTCGAGAAAACTGCTTTCTAAATGGCTGATGTCGTTTCAGTGGTCGGTCAAACTTCGGGAAAGGTTGTTCTGGCGTGACCCATTATGTGATGTCCTCAGATCTTTGTTTAGCGGCAGATCTGATTTTAATGAGATTGTGTATATATTGATTGAAAATTGAATCATTTGAAAATCAATAAATAACTGACAATGAAATGACGACCTAGCTCATGTTCCTATGCAGTATGTTGAAGTTTCCATTTCAGTTCAGCCCGAAACAATTGTATTTGTGTTGTATCAATACACAAGTCAAAAAGAAATGTATCTCCCATCTCACCGCCCACTTGTATGACAGGAATTGTACTCACGTCATGTCTAGACCCCTGTTATAAGGACAGACAAAAGATTATTATATTTTAATTAAAAGATTGTGACATACACAGCAATAGCTCTTATTTCCATTTGAGTGAGTGAGTAAGTATGGTTTAACGTCGCTTTTAGCAATATTCCAGCAATATCACGGCGGGGGACACCAGAAATGGGCTTCACACATTATACCCATGTCGGGAATCGAACCCGGGTCGTCTGCGTGACGAGCGAACGCTTTTACCACTAGACTACCCAACCGCCCCATTTCCATTTGAGACACATATGGTTACAATACATCAATGATTGTGCATCAATAAGACATTACAAATTCAAAACAATGACTGCTCCCTGACACAGATGTGTGCACACATAAAGTGAAAGCACTCAGCAAGCCGAGTTGAATGATACTAAATGAGATAAACTTTTTCAAGCAGATCGTTTGTTTTTAGGGAAGTACTATTTCATCAATTTTAAAACTATGTGATTGATTATCTAAGTTTATTTCAAGCAGGTAAAGTTATCACATCCTTTATTACTACCAGCCATATAGTTTGAAAAAAGGACCCATTCCGAAAAAAAATCTCTTAATCCTGGTTATCTTCACATCAACATGATCAACACAATTTTCGAAATTCAATTAATTCCTTAACCTTAATACAAAAACAACAAATCATGCAGTACGGCAAAACAGGTCAACTTGGTTTGATTTAAAATGGTCTCTGAAATAATAATAAAAGAGCTAACTTTTCCATCCTAGAGCCACAAGAAATTTCAGAAGGTTGTAATAGAAATTACCAACCCATATCCAAAAGAAAAGAAATATTTTAGAAAAAGACGCCATGCATTAGGCTATAGCAAGCAAATTGAAGTGCTGCCACATAACCATGGTAACAGCTGCACTACTGCGGCACATGGATGCAGCGGAAGCTATCCAACATACCTCCTTCCCCTGACAGAAGCATGGGAAAATAAACACAAAGCTCACATAGGAACAACCAAACATACAACAAAGTAATCATTTCTTTACATCGGTTCAATAAAATCAACAAATTATTTACCATATTCTAAGATGGGTTGTTTAATCAACCAGTATTATTTTGGAAAAAACGTTTGAAAATCTGACGTATTGTATCAAGAAAAATGTTTTCTATTTTGGAACGATTTCAAAAGAAATAAAAGTTGAATATGATTGACAAAACACAAGTTTCATGTGGGTTTCAACAATTGAATTTCACGTAAATAAACAGTCTTAAAACTTGATAAACAAGTTAGTACAACAGCGATCACATTTTGGAACCATCTCAACTACTGAAGGTAAAATGCCAAGCTACCAAAATATGTACCTAACAACTGTCAGCCAAAGTGGTATCCATTCGATGTCAAACACACTACCACACTAACACCCTTATAAAACAGTCTTACACCATAACAAGCCACAACATGTAGAACATCCCAATGCTACATCACCCCCACCCCAGCTGCCTAACCATGCTAACCACACCCAACTACTGCAAACATCCCAGTTCCTACACACACTGCCTACTATTTAACTCAACAGCTCATGCAGTTACCATGGTAACACAAATGCAGTAACCATGGCAACACAGGTTAGTCATCATGGAGAAAATCAATTCTATTACAAAACAGAACAAAATCCAGTCAACCAAAAGAAGTGCAAGTGCACAACCATTAATTAATTTGGACCAACAGTTCACAGAAACTAGTTACATAACTAAATTGATGAACAAACTCACAGGCCATTTTACTGATTACTGCGATGTTTTGTCACAAATATAACTGTCTAAATGCAATTCTCAGTCTGCCTGACAATATTCCAATGCGCAGCCATAAATACTCACTGATTATTTGCATTAATCAGTCACACAATTTTGAAAAGAGTTTCCAAATGACGATGGACTTTGTAATCTATAATTTACCCAAAATTGTTTATAGAATGTTGGTGCAATTTGACTTCACCTCCCCTCAGTTCTGTTCCAAACTATCACCAAACGACCATAACGCCAGACAATAAACAATTAATAGGCATGCTAGGTGCACCCCTGCGATAACGTAACTTATTTACAGAAACATAGTTTAACAGCTACGCATTGTGGCAAGCAGACTGAAAGATTGACACCATGCATGATATACACTAAGCATTGAGAATGACGTATGACGAGAAGACAGAGCGAGACCCACCTTCCTGAAGTGATGCAGGGTGTCTGGGCTTCTCTCGCACATCTCTGTGATCAGACACACGGCCGTGAGGAGCACACCTGCAATATAAACACATCTTGTACTGATGTTTTTCCCGCTGGTCATTCGCAGGTTTGAGAATCACATGTGGACAGGAGGCAAATGGACCTAATCTCAAACCTACCAACATACCTTTTTCAATTAGAAACACCTTTTTCTGATCGATTATGTGGCTGGTTGACGCTACATACTATGTGGCTAGTTTCATATATTCATCATCCGGGTATCTCATTATTATGTATAATAATCCTCACCTATTATTTTACAGCGAAACAAAAAAATGTTTGAAATTAGGAATGGTGGATCTGTTAACAAACAAACAAATGGGTATAATCTGTTGGACTTCCAAGGTAGTATGATCAATATCTTCTACTTATCCATCTTCCCTAAGCAAGGGGGGCAAATGACTTTAAAAGGCCAGTTCCCACCCTTCCAGGCTAGATCTTAGTGCCACTAGTGGCTATGACGAGTTATGTCCCTTCTGTGTCCCTCCTATTGACCAATAGAACACCTTGATCATGAACATGAAAATATTTGCAAAATATATGTCGACGCCCAGTTTTTGCAGAACTCCATATTTTGCAAATCCTGCACTCCACAGAAATCAGAACGTTGAAATCCATATTGTTTACGAACCAGATGTCTAGTTCGTTACACGATTTTGATTGGACTATGCATAGACTTGTTAGTCCAGCCAAAATGTAACTCTGGAATTCCAGCTTAGTTTGGCAAGGGTGGAACTGGACTATTATAATCCGTTAACTCCCTTGCCTCGAGAAGGTGCTACTTGTCGTGAAGCACCAACAGAGAGCTTAGGGCATAATGTTCTTCCTAACAATGTAGTATAACCAACACTGTATACTGAACAAAAACTATGGTGGGGTTGAGCCTACCGTGATTCTTCTCATTGAGCAGTGAGCGTGTTGCAGGAATATACATCTCCATGAGATCTGGAACTTTCCGGATGATGCGGAATGCACACAATATGGACTGCAATGACAAAAGTGGCATCCATTGAGCAATGTCTCAGTAGACATAACAGTATTAACACCTTCCAATCAACCAATCACATGGCATTAATCTCCAATCACAGGGCATTAATCTCAATTAGCAAGGATAGAATCAACATGAGGTGAGGTGAAATTGGGTTTAACGTCGTGTCCAAGATTATTGCACTTACATAGCGACGTGCATGCGTGCATGCGTTAGTCTGGACTGCTGCTGATTTATAGAGCTAGCTCACTGAAATACCATACCGCTGTCTAACATGAATACCCCACTCAGACACAATATACTGACTAAGAGCAGACCAGTCCTTGTTTTAGCCCCTTAATGCCGAGCGCCAGACAGGGTAAAAACAAGTATCATCTATTAACGTCTTTTGGAATGACGCAGCAGGGGATCGAACCCCAGACCTTGCGCTCTCAGGGCGGACCCTCTACCACCAGACCACGGAGGCGGTCGAATCAACATCAAAAGAAATATTAGCCGGAACAGTGATTAAGGGAGAAAGACAATTGTTTATCTGCATGTACAAAGTAAATCTTACCTTTTTCTTTATGTAGGCATTTGAAGATTTGATCATTTTCTCTATCTCTCCGGCCAGGTCCCTGCTCATCTCCACAGAGCATATTGATCCTAGCGTACACAGGGCCAGGCTCTGAATATACTGGGTTTGATGATTCAGGTCGCTGGAACATAGCAAGTCACATATAATTGCCACCTCAATGTTTTACTACTTGCCAACTAAAAGACAAACATATGCTGCTGTTTATGTCCAAAATTTCAGAAATATCAAAGTGCCAATACAAAGAAAGTTTGATCATATCAATAGAGTGAGTGAGTGAGTGAGTGAGTGAGTGAGTGAGTGAGTGAGTGAGTGAGTGAGTGAGTGAGTGAGTGAGTGAGTGAGTGAGTGAGTGAGTGAGTGGGTGGGTGGGTGGGTGGGTGGGTGAGTATGGTTTTACGCCGCTTTTAGCAATATTCCAGCAATATCATGGTGGGGGACACCAGAAATGGGCTTCACACATTGTACCAATGTCAGGAATCGAACTCGGGTCTTCGACATGACGAGCGAACGATTTAACCACTAGGCTACCAGACCGCCCCAATATAGTGAGTGAATGAGTTTGGTTTATGCTCCTATGAGCAATATTCCAGCAATATCACGGGGGAGGACACCAGAAATGGGCTTCACATATTGTACCCATGTTGAGAATCGAACCCGGGTCTTCGGCATGACAAGCTAACCACTAGGCTACCCGACCGCCGCCATATCAATATAGGCAAAAGATAGTATTACACAATATTTCAAATCTGCATTGTTGATACATTTCATTCCATGCATATATATCATTATGATCATGATGATACAGACCAGTGTTACAAATTAATGTCAAGCTGAAGGGTTCTTTCCAAAAGTTCAAGATTAAGTGGTCCCCAGATTCAAATACAATAGGAGATTTAAGGACAAGTGTATAATTTTGAGCAATGTACACAATAATCACCTAATACACTATATCAGATTTGACTCAGGTTAAAAGAGTATGGTCTTACGCCCAATTTAGCAATATGCCAGCAATATCACGGGGAGGGGGGGATGGGGGAGAAGAAACACCAGAAATGGGCTTCACACATTCTTCTCATCTGCCTGAGTGAATCATTGTTTGAATACCAATGACGTGGTGTAGTGCAGTGTTGGTACTGAATACCAATGACCTGGTGTAGTTCAGTGGTGGTACTGATTACTAATGACCTGGTGTAGAGCAGTGGTGGTACTGAATACCAATGACCTGGTGTAGTGCAGTGTTGGTACTGAATACCAATGACCTGGTGTAGAGCAGTGGTGGTACTGAATACCAATGACTTGGTGTAGAGCAGTGGTGGTACTGAATACCAATGACCTGGTGTAGTGCAGTGTTGGTACTGAATACCAATGACCTGGTGAAGTGCAGTGGTGGTACTGAATACCAATGACCTGGTGTAGTGCAGTGTTGGTACTGAATACCAATGACCTGGTGAAGTGCAGTGGTGGTACTGAATACCAATGACCTGGTGTAGTGCAGTGTTGGTACTGAATACCAATGACCTGGTGTAGTGCAGTGTTGGTACTGAATACCAATGACCTGGTGTAGTGCAGTGTTGGTACTGAATACCAATGACCTGGTGTAGTGCAGTGTTGGTACTGAATACCAATGACCTGGTGTAGTGCAGTGGTGGTACTGAATACCAATGACCTGGTGTAGTGCAGTGTTGGTACTGAATACCAATGACCTGGTGTAGTGCAGTGGTGGTACTGAATACCAATGACCTGGTGTAGTGCAGTGGTGGTACTGAATACTAATGACCTGGTAATTAGTATAGCGTGGTGATGGTACTGAGTAACGGTCTGACGTCAAAGAGAGTCCATGTTGAGCCCACCTACATCACCGTAACCAATAGACTTGTAAGACAAGTGGTTGACAGCATGAACAACATTCCATGTTGTCAGGGAACTATGACACACTATTAAGTCACCAAGTCACCTGATCCAAGTTAACGGCTTTTTGAAGTAAACTGGGAACCAATTCTAACAAGGGTCGCCATGGGGTGTGTAGTCACAACTAGTCAAGGAAAAACATGTACTGCAGTGTTCAAAAATATGCATGAAAGACAAGAGGTCCTTCAGAGCTCCAGATAACTTATTGAGCAACTGAATTTTTACTCAAAGGTTTCTATTTTAATTGGGTTATTACATTTTTCATTGGGAAACCAATATTTTTGCACTCATCTATTCATCACTCAATTGGGGTTTTCCCAAAATGAGCTTACATTTTGTGATTAAAAAAAATAAAATGTTTTAGATGTATGTAAGGGTTCTTACTATAGGCTTGACTCGGAAAGTTAATTAGCTCATAACTGTTTCAGAAATGAGCTCCATTGTACACATACTGGGAAAGCTTCTTTTGGATATTTAAACACATGCTGTTTCTAAACATTTGAGTTTTCCATGTAATGCATGCATTTCTGTAGACAAGTTAATTAAAAGTAATTGGGTTTTGAATAATTTTGGGGGGTATTTTACGCAAATATGTAGCTTATCTGTAGCTCTGCTCCTTGTAATAACCCTAAAGCTAAAATTTAAAGAATTATGGGGTCCCTTGATTCATACACAAAAGGAGCAAACAACAAGGACACCCTTAATTTTAATCACTGATATTCCTGAATTTATTTCAGAGAGAGTCAAGACCAACCATTCATCTGACTACCATTACCTTGGACAGGCAACTTGACCTTCTTCAAAACACTGAATACAAACATATTTCTACATTTTCTGGAAAATACATCAAAGGACAATAATAATGAATATCAGTCAAATCAATAGAATGAAACTTGTTTTAACCCTGATACCATGGATACAGTAATTGAGTCTGGGTCAGGCACACCAATACCCATAGAAGATAGTTATGATAGCAGCCGGGGCACAAGGAAACAATCAAGCAGATGAGAGAGATATGACCACCTGATCTTCACAGAATTCAGCTTGTGACATGTAATGGGTATAGTGGACCCTATCAGTCCCAGATTCATAAAACAAACCCTACATTGATGACAAGATCCTCTAGTGATACTATATGTTTTACAACTAATTCTCATGATAATAAAACCACTGTCACAACTATGACAAACCAAATCTTATGCATCCTAAGTTTATTATGTGTGTAAAATGCTGAAAAGCCAGAAGCATCAGTAGGGTTGATACATACTTCTTGAGAGAGTTTGTGACAAGAAGGTGGACATCTTGTCTCTCATCCAGAAGCAACATGGCACCAAGGTAGCCAATTCTTTTGTCTGTGAAACGAGGTGAGGCAATCAGCTTCAGACATTCCAGCTGAAATAAAAGTGAAACAGTGAAAATGTTGAAATTAATTTCTATTTTAATTTTGACCACTGACAATGTTTTATTTTGTTTAATGTAAAAAAATGGTAACCATGGTGACAGCCAAACCCTACAGCATTGGAATATAATTCTACCAGTACTAACTGAAATGAAGCCTATGTTATAAAATGTGACAAGCTTAAACAAGAGGATGCAATAAGATGAGCGATGTCCCAGTTTCAGGAGTATCACAGACACAGCATGAGTGTTACCAGAGGGGCAAGACAACAGCCAAGCGAGTTCCCAAACACATTCATGTTCCAAGTTCAATGTAACTTGTTGCACCAATACCATGAATACTGTCCAGCCACTCTAAATTAAGTCAACACTAAACCGTTTGGGAACTTGCCCATCTCCTTTATTGGAATACATGTGAGAAAAAGAAAGAAATGGTTACCTTGATCATACATTCAAGGTTAGACATCAAATAATATTTTCATTAGTACGAAAAATGTATCTGCTACAGAGTTGCCATGCCTAATGGTATAAGTCGTAGTCTATAAAGAAATGATACTAGTCCTGCCTGAATTTTACAAGTCCCAATTAATGTACTTGAACTTAATTCAAACCCAATAGCATAACATCCCCATGTCACACACAAGCATTTTCAACAATCACAAAAAATATTTTTTGTATGCATTTATTCATTTTTCTCTCAAAAACAGCTCACCTGACCAAAGTGGGCCGGGTATCCCAACATGTGTATGTATAGAAGCTTGGCCACATTGCGGCATCTGTAGGTGTTGTCCTCATCTCGGAATGAATCTCGAATTGCGGCACATTCCTTGTTGACGACTGATCTCTCATCTGCGGCAGTACGGGCAGACCGGATTTCCCGAATAAGGTCACGCAGCCGTTTGGGAGTCGGCATGGCTAGTGCCTAAAACACTGCAGAAAAGTATGTTTCATGGTAATTTAGTTTATGAAATGAACAAATATATGACATAAAACCAATAAATTGGTTTAAACATCTACAAGTAAATCGAGGGATTGATGTTATAGAGGCCACATGCTGTTGGGGTACACTGACATAAGTCACAGAGCCTGACCACCTGATCTTGTGTTCGAAAGGAAGGGTAGTCTCCTGACCTTTGCTGCAAGTATTGGATCTAGGGACCCCTAAACCTTTTACTAACTTTTAACATGTTTAACATTGCAGTTATTACATGATCCTTTGGCTTTCATGCTTATTTTTTACCACTGATAATCCATTAAGTCATCCTTTACAAACATAGATAAATTTTGAAACCCTTGCTCGTTATCAGCAGTAATAGTAACACCAGTAGATGTGGACTTGACCCAAAATTATTCATATCAATTGGAAGCAAAGTACATGGACTAAGGAATGTCACACGCTGATCATGCTCTCAACAATAACTTGTAACATGATTTGTTTTTGTTTGTTGTTCTAACACCAGACACAGCAATATTTCAGCCATACGATGGTGGCATGTAAATAATCTGGACAAGACAAGACCAGACCAGAAAAGTCTGGACCAGACAATCCAGTGATCGATATTCAATAAGTCATCAAGCCTGATCACCTGATCAATTAAGTTGCCTCTTATGTCCAGCAAAGGTTGCTGGAGATCTTTCTAACCAGGAATCCCCACAGGGCTCCTTAACATATAAATTAAGGAAGTTTTACAAAAGTGACAATGACCTGTTTACAACAACAGGGAAGTATCAGCATGGCCCGATTCCATCATGTCCAACATGGATAACCGCTTTTGTCTACCTTTTGAGTTGGGTAGAAAAATACTTCCAGCATTAAATGACAACTATCCAGTTAGGTAACATTCTTACATCTTGATTACAGCTGACATTAGTCCTGCACCATGACCGTGGAATATATTTATTTTATGAAAAAAACATAATCTAGAAATGCATACAAAAGCAAGTCTAGCTAGCTCAAGCATCAATCAGCATAGGGAATTTTTTTAGAGTCAAGAAGGATATTGTGTAATATAAGATTTCAGAGACTAAATGTTAGTCTAAGCTGACATCTGCCAGTGTCATTGTTTGGAAAAGTAAACAGTAAAATGCAGCATGCTGTGATGTAATTTTGTTTTGTTTGTTGCTTAACGAGGCACTCAGCAATATTCGAGCTATATGACAGCGGTCTGTAAATAATAGAGTCTGGACCAGACAATCCAGGGATTGACATAAGCATTGATCCACGCAATTGGGATACGATAGCATGCATCAACCAAGTCAGCGAGCCTGACAACACGATTCTGTTAGTTGCCTCTTACGACAAGCATAGTTGCTTTTTACAGGAAACACGGGTTGCTGAAGACCTATTCTTACCCGGATCTTCACGGGTCTTGTGATGTAATGTACTAACACAACTGCATAGAGTAGTCATGTTAGTGCTTTAAACTTTTATTCAAGCTCTGACATGTTTTGTTGTTTCACATTGCTCTCAGCAATATGCCAGCTGTCATAAATCAGATAATGAAGTGATTGATATTGTGACCAATGATCCACTGTCTGGGTTCAATGACCTGTAATCAACCATGTCACTTATCCTGAGCACCTGATCCATTTAGTCGCCTCTTACGACAAGCCTTGTTCCCTGGGGACCTATTCTAACCTGGAATCCTTATTGAGGGGGGCCGCTGACATGGTGATCTTATCACTATGATTCCTGGAACACAATGAAGAAGTGTCAACGTAGGACACTAATTCAGTTACTATGTTTACCAGGATTAGCTGCGATGTGTTGTAATGCTGGCACGGTGTAAATAACTAAATTATCAGCAATGAAGATGGAAACATACCGCTCATTAATATTTCACCTTCAACCATTAGCAGGATCAGTAATGATCAGAACTGATGCTTACAAACTGAGCCATCATCATGGTATACATTACTTGCACAGCAACAATCAGAACAAAAAAAACAATTTGGAATCTCCCAGCACACATTTATGTCCTTGCATGTTTTCAGTAGATTTTAGGTTCAGCTGACATTACCTGGGCCAAAACGCATTTTACAAAACTCTTCGGAATAGTGGCTGAAGTGGACGACTGCACTTCATGTTTATGACATTTCTAATATTTTCACATTTTCTGCAAAGTTTTAAGAAATTACACATTTAAAGTGCCTGCTACTATGATCAGAATTAACATATTAAAGGTGTATTAGTATTTACCCAAAACAGGCTAAACATGGTGAAAAAGAAATGTGCTATTAGCTGCATTTAAATGTAGCATGATTAACATGATTAATGATGAGTATGTGCATTATGACAAATAGATCAAAAGAATGTTTCAAATTAGATATAAACATTCAATACTGAAATACAGTTTTCTCCACAACTGATAACAGAAAACAACTGACCATTGTCTTTTATTAATCATAAGAAATATTCATTGGGACATCAAATCCATTATACAATACATTTGTTCTGAAGTTCAGAAATAAGGAACCTGTAAACATGGTAAATAGGAAGAGAGAAATATATAATGTAATCTTCATGTATGAACGTCATGTAATACCTCGGTCGTGAAGCCTTATTAGAGCTTGAAGTTAAGACAATATTTGATATTATCATTATTATAGTCCTATTTCAACAAACCTGAACAGAGGTACTTATGATACACTGATACACTAGCTTCTGATACCAGATGAATTCAGTAATGATTGATTTTATCAGTTGCATTCACAATCAACATGATCATACAAACCTGATAATCCCCTAACAGGTGCTTTTTCAATTTCTCAAGTTACACTTCTGATAAACACTGACATATAAACGACTTTCCGTATTCTAAAAATATGTATCCTCAAATTGTATGTTCTTATGTTAAGTTCCAATTATAAAACATAGATCTATACATATATTCAAAATTAATAATTCCACATGAAGATGCGTCAAAGCTAAAAGTAGTACACAGCATTTATACACTATTTCATGTCATTCAAATCCAAAGCAATTATAAAATAACATTATCGATGCATCTGCTTGTTTTGTAATCAAAGAAACAATTGCGTATGTAAGCATTTAGATGTTTGATTGTGACTGACAGTTTTTTCACCTGCCATAATTTGTTGACTATTTAGCATACGAAGGAGGTGGGGACGGCAGCAAGCCGGTGTCATTTTACCTTGTAATAGTATGCGACAGATCTTCAGTGGTACCTTAAGGGTAAATTCTAACTATGTAGGTATAATCCAAAGGCACAAAGCGTCGAATGAATCTAAAAACCAACCGCAGATGTGTAATATTATATTTTCTTATTCATTTACCACATTGCCTTCCTACAATATGGCGGTGCGTGATAAGATGTGAGGTGATCCGCGACATGAAAATAGTACCTAATTAAATTTGCATTTACTTCTGATATTGTTATTTGATTAAGTATGGTTCTTCTCAGTTGCTCGCTAGAAACATAGATGGTACTTACAATATATTATCTATCGGATTTAGATTATATTTCACGCTCGGCGAAATAATAACAAACCCGAAAATAGTGCACTACACCCGTGGCAAGTGGTTGTGACGTCACATCCGTGAATCTATCTATGGGCGATAACTCTGATTTGTGCATCGGTATGCATTGCACACCACGATAAATAATACTGGGTTGAAAGTTCAACACACCAAATTACATTCAAACGGCCAGTCACTCAACATGAATTATAAAAGACTCTGAAACACATATGATGGATCTCTAGTTGTATCTTTATAAGATGTATAAAATATGGCTTGGGTATTTCTTTTCAAAACCGTTACCGTGATATAGTCAAGTAATTGAAATATTTATACATTATTTTACATTATACATCCAAGTCTCGTTAATCCGAAAATCGGCTTTATCTGACACTGATGATGGGAACCGATTAAATCAGTGCTATTTAGACCCGTTTTAATCCGAGTCTCGCACTCAGACACCGACACAACTAATTTGCAACGAATTACCGAAATCACTTATTAATCATTCTCGTTAATCCGACACAGCGATCAGCGTACTCCGTGTTCATCTGCCTACGAGTACACAACCCCGAGTATTTTGCGAGACGAGTCGACTCGTGGCTGTATTAATCACATGCTTAGATTACCTCAATCTCATTCAAATCAGATGCAAGTTCTCACTACCGCTGAGGACATCCCATTACAGGTCATGTCAGAACGACCTTTCGCGAACTTTCACCGACCCAGTGCAACCAACAATGTCGGGTTAACGTGACTTGAATGTATTACCCCTTTTCTGTAAGTTTCCTTGAAAAATATCAAATTGCTTCGCCTAATATTGTTCTATTGTTTTCAAAGCGGTACTAAGCAACATTACCCAAAAGTAGGATTTTCAAGCGTGACAATGAATATGACGTCCTTTTTTGTTGAAACGTCGACACTTTTGTAAAACCAAATTGGCTGAGGTGATGCCTCTTTCTGTGATTGGCAATCTCATATTTTTATATCTATTTGCATTAAATTTTGTGTTCCAGACTACTCAACCTAGAATAGTTCCTCATCCTTCGGAGCTCGTTTCTAAAACTACTCATCCAGAGTTTCCTAGACCATGTCACGTGAACATACATAGCCCCCTCATAGACTGTCATGGTGATCTGAGGCGCAGAAATTCGCTGAGCAGAGTTGCCTCCCTTATGTTTGCCAGGATCCGGCAATTGTTTCAAATCCCAGATTCGCCCGATTATGAAGTTAGTATGTTCTTCATGTAAAATTCAACTAAAATAAATTTATTCTAAAATTAAATAATGTATCTTTCAACACATATTCATGAAGACATCTCGATATTAAGGTCGTGATTCACAATTTGCAAATTTATGCACAGCGCACAGTTATGATGTTTTCCTTTTTGTTGTGAGCAAGATACTTACAGGTGTTATCTTCAGCAGGGCAACATATACGCCTTACCGCAGGCCGGTCGCCCACAAATGACGTCACGTCAACCATATTCGGTTGGTGCATCTACGTTATCAATAGCGAACCGCCACATTAACAGCTTAGACATTTCCTGGGTTGAAACCAACTCCCTTTTCTGCAAAATCGTACAGATGAAATGCAACATAAATATATTCCCGAGAGCAACAACTCGTCTTAAAAAGCATAAAAAGCTAAAAAAAATTATTTATGTGTTTTAATACCTATTGTTACAAGGGGGTCTGTACAATAAACACAATAGCGGAAGGGCATAGCGGAACAAAGGGGTAGTCTCAAAATTTATATATTCTGAAATTGTTTCATTGTGACAGTCACTGTTAATGTCAACTGAAATAATAATGCACCCCCTCCGACTTGCAATAATCATAAACGTGAAATACCAAGGTTTTCAAATCATTTGTGAATTTCATCATGTACCGTATTGTAATGATATATTGAGCTCGTTCTGTTTATTTTATTATTTGCATTTGAAATTAGCTGAACAGCAATCCCAAGAACATCTCTTACATTACTTTGAGAATAGTTTACAGATTCTCATTGTATATTCCGTTTAATAACAACTACAGAAATATATGCTTCTAATTTAGTGTTTTCATTTGACAGGATTTTATAACAGAAAAGAGTAGTAGGTTGGCCTAACACGTGCGAATGTAGGGCTATTCAGTTTACAGTCCCCACCCCTTGTAACAAAATACCTTCAAACACCAACTATTACATGAGTGTTTGTAAATTGAAGCTTTCGGATTTCTATCTATTTTGCATTTTGCTGTACGAATTTGCAGCAAACGGACTGTAGTGGCAGAACCGTACGCAACCTGTAGAGGGGCCCCCGACGTCCAAGGATTTTGCTTTTGCGTTACCGTCAGGCACGCTAAGCTTGGTGTTGACAGCATCTGAGGTTCAGAAGACAAGGTTGGGACAGTATATTGTCCACAGATGAGTCCAGGTTTCACTTGGACAGCTCTGATGGATGCGCAAGGTTCAACAGGCATCAAGGAGAATGTTTAGAACATATTTGGGATGAGATGGAGACACGCCTACGACAGGACCAGAATCGCCTGGTACCGCTATCTCAGTAAGGCCAATCTTTTGGTTGATATTTGGAGCACCATTCCACAGGCTGTTTTCAATCATCTGGTGTCTTCAATGCGGCACCACAGCCTTGTCTGTATTAACGCAAATGGTTACACCCCGATATTGACATCTTTAATTGAGTTGTTATATCAACCCTCTTTTAGGGCGTGTCTCTGTCTCCAGTAACCAGGTCTGGGTCTTGTCAAAGGTATTCCTATGACAAAACATTGATCACACGAATGACGAAATATGTCGTTGTTATTTCATTAACATAAGATTCACATCACAGTTACATTTTCCGTTAGTAGGTTGATAGGGATCTATTCGCCCGGAATCTCAGCGGGACGTCCATTGGCCTATAACCCTTGCATACTGATGGGAATTTGCAACAATCACCCCTTTCAACTAGGACCTCAACATCAAAATTAACCTTAAAAGCAGCATCCAAAAATCAGTTGTTCTGCAAGGTGTGTTTCAAAAGGGCCACTGAACACTTTCGCGGAATATGCAGTAACATAAATTCATCATTATTATACTTTTTATTATTATGCTTATTATAAAGCCAATGTAACATATGACGCCCTCGTACGAGGTAATTACAAATGTCCACAACATGCGGAGCTGATACTCCCGGTATTGACACAAGAACACCAGTTGACTACACTAGCATGTCTCCACCAGCTGACATGCGTCGGAGTTATACTCAATCCATAGCCGAGGCCACAGCTATACAATAAGAGGTCGACATTCTGATTCTGTATGTGACATATTGCCGACACAATAGCTTAATTGATTGATGGCGTGATAAGTACGTATATATTTATTAAAGAAATTCCCTTTAGATATTGTTGTTAAGGGCATGCAGTCGATGTATTCATGTAACCATGCGATTTGGGTTAATGATCAGGGTTGAAAATGAATATTTGTTTGTTTGTTGTTGTTTAACGCCGCACTCGGCAATAATACAGCTATATGACGGCGGTCTGTAAATAATCAAGTCTGGATCAGACAATCCAGTGATTGACACCATCAGCATCGATCCATACAATTGAGATACGATGACATGCATCAACCAAGTCAGCGAGCCTTACGAGTGAGTATTTGAATTTATTACCTACGAGGGCAAACATATCGGGGTTCATAAAAATCATGCGCTCTAGGGTCATATCCCGTCCCGTGACAAGAGTGTATTGTTTCCGTCATTCGGACGGCACTGTTAACGTCATTCGAATGTTATTGTGACGTGAGGTGGGAATGACGTCATACTTGAAACGACGTCATTGCTGATGATTGTTGACGTCATTCGACAAATTGTGATTCCGCTGCTGTTGCTGTTCACTACAATTAGGAGATAAACATACTGTGTTTTCAATGTAGAGCTAGGTTACCTGTAGATTTAACCCCGCTTAATTGAATTTGGAACCGAACGCGCAGCGTGAGGTTTCAAATGTTAAATTTAGTGGGGTTAAATCTACAGGTAACCTAGCTCTACATTGAAAACACAGTATGTTTATCTCCATTCTACCATGACTAAATAAAACGCGAACTCTTTGGTGTTAGCAAACATACTGAGTGAAGCGGCAAGGGATGAATCCAGTGTTTTGAGTGGGTTATCGATCTGAATTATGGAATCACCGAACAAAATATGGCGTTGTATATACACAAGCAGTTTGTTGACACCGTAATACTTCACTCGAACATATGACAGGCATTGAAAGCATATAAGCACGGCAACTTGGTAAGCTAACATGAGGTGGGCATCCCTAAAGAAAACAAGGCAAGCTTTGCAAGGTTTTCGCTCTACATCGCGTGTCACCATTATGACGTCATATCGCTCATTGTGACGCAAAAGATATGACGTCACAGTCGTATACAGAAAAGCGCCAAAATTCCAAGCTTTCTGTTGTCTCCAAAACGTAAATACATTCCCTTTGTAGATTTCTAACGTGTTTTCTGCATGAAATGTATTGCCACACATCCTTTGAATACTGTAGTAACCGCATCTGTGCATTTTGTAACCTGTAATTGTAGATATAATTATTTAAATATGCCTACCGACAATGACTGAAAATAGTACTATTCTATGAATATTAGCTTCCGCGGTGATGCGGCCGTCAAACCAGCTGTTTCAATCAGAGGCGGGTTATTGTGATTTAATAGCCTCTGATTGACCAATCAGAATCGAGTAAATTCCAAATTCATGGTAGAATTCGTCTCTGTGTGTAGACATCTTCGTCGGTAATAAATAGAGCATCCTCTATGAACGTGGCATCTAAACGTCCAAATCGAGTTGTCGAGCAATAAGAA